TTATATTTTTAATTTATATTAATATATTATTTAGCATGTAATTTTTTAATGTATTTCTTTATATAAAATAAAAATAAAAATAATTTTAAAAAAGTTAAAAGTTGAAATTTAAAATGAAATATAAATTTATTAAAATTTATAAGTATAAAAATTAAACATGAATATCTTTTTTTATAAAAATTAAATCATGCAGTTGAATTAATAACCTACCAATTCAATATTTAACTACTAATATAATATTCTAATCGATTTAATCGGGGTCCAATTATTTAAACTATGATATTGATATGAGTTGTTCCTCTTTGACTCGGCGCGAGAGTTGTTGCAGCGCAACATCTACAACGTCCGGAAAGCCAAGGTTAGTGGCGTTGGGGTGGGCGTAGGTGAGGGTGGGGATCAACCCAATGACGACCTCGCGCATCCTCTCAACCTCTTCCTCCGAAACACTCATCAGAATCTCCTCGATGCTCCTCTTCCCCTCCACCACCTCTCTCTCCTCGATCAACACCGAATACGAACCCCTCTCCGCCGGAAGATACCACGCGTACTGCGTGTACGCCGTGTGCTCCGAGAAGAACACCGGCACGCACCCCGCCACCACCGAGTCAAACGATGACCTCCGCGTGAACGAGTCCCCCGCCGCCTGAAGGCAGAACTTGGATGAACTCATCACCTCCAAAACCTTCATCGGGTCGTGGCACCTGCTGTCGCCGCCGCTCGCGCACCGCACCAAAACGCAGCGTTTGGAGTCGCCGCACTGCCTCACGATGTCGTCGCGGACCTTGGCCTTCTCCAGGCCCTTCCGCGTTCCGCCCACGAAGGAGAAGAGGTGGGGCCGCGCGCGCTGCCGCATGCTGTTCTGCCACGTCAGCATCTCCGCTAGGGTTTTGGGGTGGAAGTAGGAGGGGTAGGGGATGCCGAATTGGTTCGCGCCTTTCCAAGGTTGTCGCTCCACTGTTAGCACCGACATGTTTCGGACAGGTGGCAGCTTCAGGAAGATGTTCGCTCCGAAGTCTGCTCCATCTTCGGCTCGCATGAAATCCCATGCGGTTCTCCCCAGGGCAACGAAATGGTCCTTACCTACGTTACACATACTCAAAAGACATTAAAACATTACTATTACAGTTAAAATTCTGTAATATAATTACAATAGATTTATAACATTATGTTTTTTGTCAATATATATA